TATAATAGAACGGTATTTCATTTTTACTTTGCCACATGCCCTCCCCCACTTTTTAGCCGAGTAGAAAATATGATGTATGGTAAAAATAATCGGACTATAACAGGCTTCGTTTACTTGCGTACATGCATGGCCTCCCCCATACTTCCAAACATGCCCATGCAGCGGTCATTGTAACAAGCCTGCTATGCAGGCTACAGTTATTGCTTCGCCCCAATGCCACCCTGGGAACGAGGTTGCCCCAATGCTAGCCTGCATAGCAGGCGTTTATTTGCTTGTGGGCGGCGAGTGCGCCTGTAGTGAACTCTAATTAACTGTCAGGTGCAATCATTGCATCTCTGAAAACAATCTCGTTCTTAGAGAACGGGCGGTTCGCAGATTAGGTGCCAGCTACGAGATTGGCTCAGTATATATACAGCTATTTCAATTAAGGTTTTAAGGTTGTCCCCCCAGCAAAGCGGAAAAGTCAAATACGAGCGCGAAAGGCTGCTGGGAATCGCTAATAAACGAATGAATTTGTTAGCGATTCCCAACAGCGTTTCGCGCTCGTATTCGACTTTTCCGCTTTGCTCGGGGACACCTTAATTGAAATAGCTGCAGACACTGATTTAGTAGTAAATGTTACACCAATTTTGTTTTAAGGAAACACCATACAAATCGACACCCAAAAGGTGCATTGAAACACCTACTGTATATCCCTTATTGGGTTAAAATAATTTAGTACGACTGACCAGTGGAAATGATGTTAGGCCAAAAAAAAAATATGTGGGTTTCCGGTTTCCCGACCCTACCTAGCTTTTGGACGTCGCAATCCCGACCCTAAACTTTTTTATTGGATCATGCTTGTAAGTGTTTCCACTTAGAGGAAAAAGTTTGTTGAAAATTGAAATTTGAGGCAATATTAGGAAAATTTATCTTTGGATGTGGAAGCTCTGACTAAACAAAATGGCGTCCGCTTGTTCGGAAAATTAAAAAAAAGTTTAAAAAAAAAAAAGTTAAAACCGACCTACCCTACCTAAGTTTTTATAAGAAACCGGAAACCCACATATTTTTTTTTGGCCTTATCATTTGCACTAAACCAGTGTCTGGCTGACTAAGTCAGAGCTGCAAAGAATAAACCATTTTGGTTTTGTATAGCAACATCCAGAAATTTAGAGTGCTGGAAAATACCATTCAACGAATTGGAAACTTAGAGACCTACAGCACGCGCTGATATTGCACGCCTGTTGCATGTCCAATGGAAATCACTTACATACAATCATTTTCGTCCATTTGGCAGCAAAATGTAACCGTCGCTGGCGCCAACTTTGTTGCTACCCTGCTTTAAATTAATATGAATTTTTAATACGTGCGAATTAAAAAGACATGTATTTCGTATTTAACAAAAATAAAACATTTTCCGTGTTGATATACAGTTATATCAACACGAGTGGAAATTGGGAAAACGAGAAATTGTGTGGAAACATGACTCCCGAAGGGCCGCGGAGTGTTTTCACACAATTTCGAGTTTTCCCAATTTCCACGAGTGTTGATACAACTGTATATCAATACGGAAAAAATGTTTTATATTTGTTTTATAATATAGCACAAAGAAACATAAAGAAATTTTCCGACGTATCCATGTTGACATTGAGTTATATCAACAGGGCTCTTAGCCAATCAGCGTTCAGAATTTACAAATGCTATATTATATATTACAGTTAAAAATGCAGGCATCTAAAGTTCAACAAAGCAAAAAAAAATAAATAACGATTTTATTAAATTATTAGGTACATAACTGTTACATATATATTATTTACATATATATTATTATTAATACAATTAAAGGAATATTACTGTAATATTGACAACTTCCTCATCGATGAGCAATAAATAACTTATACTATAGAAGTCAAAACATGTAAAAGACTAGCACTGGGCTTACGTCATTGGCTTGCCAGCGTATATCGACCAATTTTCTGATCAAAGTCAGAGAGCTGGATTGCTTGGAAGATCGCGACGCTGTGGACATCCAAATGGTAACTTCATTTCAGGAAACACCAATGTCGATATTCGATTACATCATCTTATTCTATTAATCATGGTGAGATTTGTGTTCAAGGTCTTCTTAACAATTCCACCAGCAGCGGATTTTTTCTTCAATTGACTTCGATCAAAACATTTCCATATTCTGAGTGTTTCATCTGCACCAGCTGAAGCTACATGTTCACCACTTGGCGACATACTCATACACAATACACGTGCACTGTGATCGACCAGATCAGCAACTCTGGTCATGGATGGATATTTCCAGATGGAAAGTTGATTGTTAGAAAAACCATGTCCAGTGATAAGTTCCTTGTAATCTTTCGACCACAGAATACTAGATATCTAGGAAAATGTAGTTATCACTCATCAGGAAATGTATCATTAAAACGGCCATTGCAGTTTCATTAGGTTGCAACGCAATGGAATTTGCAAGAATTATACAGTGCAATTTGTTCCATCAGTTTACATAAGAACATTGTAAAATCTACTACTACAGTATACAGCTGTTTCAAAATAGCAGTGAGCTTAAGCAAGTGACGTTTTTGACAACACGAACGGCATGAGTAACGTCAGAAGACTGGGTCAAGGACTGTGATTGGTGAAAAACGTCAACTTTACTTCCGGTCGACGTCCGTGTTGTCAAAAACGTCACTTGCTCACTATTATAAGGTCTTCAATAATTTCACTTATAAAGGTCTGAAACGTGCGAATTCGGCATTGTAACTAAGGCAAGACAGAAGATAATAAGCACTTAAAGATGCACAGCTAGCAGTGTACTAGGATATTTGCCCAATCAAAAGCCTAAAAAGAAGTTACCCATCACTCTTTGCGCGCTTAGAGTTTAAAGTCTGAGGTTTTCGAAGGACAACCTGTCAATGAATATTCGAATGTTTAGTGCTACACAGTAAATGTTCCATAAAATCTGGGGCTGGTTGTTCAAAGCTGGGTTAGTTTAACCCTAGGTTAACCTAACATTCAAATCAAACTTCTTGACAGCTTGTCTATAAATTTGGAAATATTTCTTCAGAGATCTTGTCTGTATCGATAGGAGTTTACTTCTCTGAAGTTTTGAAATGAACAGACGTGCAGAAATACAAACTAAAACACCACGTTAAATTTTAATCCAGGGTTAGCGCCAAACTTTGAACAACCGGCCCCAGAAGTATAAGGCGTATAACCAATTCACGGCATACAGGTTTAGTTCAGGATGCGCCAAATCAGCGAAACTTGCGGCTAGCTCATGTGGTTTAATTGTCAAGCTCGCCCATTCGTTTTATTCACTCACTAGTTCTCACTCTTTCTACTCCTTACAAGGCGAGACAAGGTAATGCGTTACCGTGCGACTTATATAGCAAGACTTATATAGCAAGTCAACAACGTGTATTACAATTCAGCTCTGCACTATAATCCAGCATAATCAGAGCATTCATCTGGGACATGCCCACCGGACGCAAATATGGTTTCCTGGATTTGGTCCCCGTATATATTTGCATGGTCCTTCATATAAATTAGAGTCTATTTTTCAGATCAGGGACTCAGATCAGGGACTCATATTTGTATAGCAATTCTATAAAATTGTATAGCAATTCTATAAAAATTAAATTAAATCAAATTCCAATAATAAATCAAGGAACATTTAATATATACTGTAAGTATGTACTTAAATTAATTAAGTTAGTATGCCGCTAGCATTGAATACTGTTACCTGCGACTTGGTATCAATACTATTGAGACAAACTCCTGTAGTTACATTCCACAACCGTATATAACGATCTGCTGTACCTCCGCCACTTGCTAACACGTTGCTTTGCCATGGACACCAAGACACTCCCTATTTAAACGTCAGCAGAAAATTAAAATTACCGCATGCATTTAATTGGCATTGTAAAATCGAAAATTTTCTTGAAATCATTGAAAATTTTCTAACTTCAATCTCTTTGCGGTCTATTATAGGAGCATTAGAGCATGCATAAACGTCGATTGTAGCAGAGTGAAGTCCTTGCAAAGATGCATGTCATATCAATCGAGTCGCAACAGAGCCGCGGAGTACTCCTATATCCTTCCATTTTGTAGCAAGTTATGATGTATTCATATAACATAACAGAGAATCAATTTCATGGCCTTTGCATGTATAGGAGCACGGTTTGATAAGCATTAAAGTGGCAGTATAATTCGTGCGAGTATAATTTGTTTATATAATTTGTTTAAAACTATATAGCTTCGTCTTCAGGCATACAATTCAATCAAAATTCATATCTGTTGGCGCAGATCGTAGCTCATGACGCATTCAGACAACATCACGATTAAATCGAGCAAACAGAGTAAAGGCTTTGCCGATCCAAAACAACCAAGAAGCGATAGGAAAATTTTAAGAAAAAATCTTCAACTGGAACAACTTCGGCCGTTGAGAGAAGTAAACGACAAAATTTACAATGACAAGATTTAGAACTAAACATTCTCGTTTGTGGGCTACATAAAATATTACCAGAATATAAAATTGAAAGAGTTTAATGTTGAGGTCATTAGCTAATTGGAAAGGAGAAAACATTCAGTGCGGTAATCTGGCCTTGTGATAGTTGTCTTGTTGTATACTGTAGGTTATAAGGCATCAAGTTTGACCTATATACACTAACCTTGACTGCGGCTTGGTGATGAGTGAGGGAATGCAAAGGAAGTTGACCAACAGCGAGTGGTGACCAAACATTTAAGAGATTATCATTTCCACCACTTGCCAACATGCGACCATCTGGTGACCATGCTAGACCACATACGTCTTGTGTATGTTCATGAAGTGTTGATACGATATGTTCTGCAATTCTTACGTCATGATTAATTATCTTGCCAGTTCGACCACCACTGTACGAAGAAAACACATACGACATATAACATAGACAATTAATTTGCCCCATTTCCTCTCCTAATTCTTACATGTATGCTGTTTTGGCACACCAAGGGCACAGAATAGGAAGTTATACCAGAAGCGTAACTCTAGTCGTTTCCCTTATTGTTTGACGTCCACGAAAATTTTAACTCGCTCACGTCAGGCCACGCCATGCTGGCTAGTACAGCCGGAAGTTTTTATCAGGATTTGGTAGGTACAAAGTGCCGGTTGTACTAGCCAGGATGGCGTGATTGATGACGAATCGCTTGTAAAAACGAGGACAAATATTTGCTCGAGTTACGCTTCTGGTATAACTTCCTATTCTGTGACCAAGGGCACTTGTATGAGTATCCAACCAACAATTAATCTAAGTGGATGGTCATCAACAAAAAGTGTTTCCGATTTTCTTATTATAATAGGTTTCTTTCCACTTACTACATATTAACATTATAACGAGCTTACAGTTATTTACAGCAACAGTATCTGCAGTACGGTAGCCTACATGATTGGAGTCGGAGAATGAAGTTATACCTTTTCTTTCTTTCTCAGGTAGTTACTGCATGTACAACACAAATACGATTATATACCCACTTTGCCATTTGAAGACGGATAGGGCCGGTGTGTCGAATGTCGATCAATTTGAAAGGTATATATTGTATACTTGACCAAAGAGAATGCATACGAGTAACTTAACAATCCTAAAATCTACAATCTTTCCAAAATTACCTTGACAGAATACAAGAATTCCATGCTAATGATCCCACTCTTCCAGCATGACCCAACATAGTTCGTAGAGGTTTTTCTGTCTCAACATCCCAGAGCTAAATGAATGAGAATTGAATTATTAACACTCAACAACTACTGAACATAAATGAAAATATCAATGTGCCTAATCCAACTTAAAATTTGAACAAAAAAATTTCATCACTAAGGCCAAATAAAAAAAATACTTGGTTAGCGTCACACTCTCACAAATTTTCAGAGGCGGGCGGGCGGGTTTTTTTTTTAATTTTTACTCGTTTTTTAATTTTTTAATCGTATTTTTTCGGGGAATGAGGGCGGTTTTTCCACCATATCGGTGAAATATTTTGTACTGATGTTGCGAAGGCCGCCATTTTGCTATAAGAACCTTGTATACCCAAGCCCACGCGCTCCTATCGATCAGTATATACCGCGAAGGTCTGAGCATGAGAAAAATTTCAAATATGTTTTAAGCTGTAAAACGAAGAGATTTACATAAAAAAATTCAGAGGCGGCAAAAATCTAGAGGCGGGCGGTGACGCTTTTTGTACACTACAGTGTGTACAAAAGAAAGGTAATCCAGCTTTAAATAGAGTTCTTTTGTGCGCTCAATATTACGTGTTCAGATTTAATTTTTTCACAGTAATAAAGATTAGGGTTTTAGCTTTCGAATGACACCTTTTTTGTATCATTTCAAGCAAAAATGACCAAGATGTGTCCAGATGTTAGGGCTTTTTAAATTAAAATTGATTAAGTTTACATCCAAATGAGATTTTAACATTCGAAAAGTGTTAAAATTGCAACCAGTGGAAGACAGAATGGAAGCTAAAAGTAGAGCTTGGAAGGTTGAAACTGGTTAAAAAATTTATTTTAAAATGTTAAAATATCAGAAGACGTTTCGGTCAAACAACTAAGACCTTCGTCGGTTCAGATTTTAATACTTTCAATAGTTTTTTCACCAAATTCTCAACGGTGGAAAATTTTCACCATCGATTAGTATTTGGCCATCTTCTCTTAAATAATGATACAAAAAAGGTATCAATGGACAGCTAAAGTCCGAATTTGCTTGCTGTGTATACGAACATGCTGAAATTGGATTACTTTTTAATACACACTATATTAGCTAACTATTCTGAGTGTAAAAATTAAAATTTGCATGTAAAACACAACATACAAACTACAAAGCAGCAAACAATAGGGGACAACGCCCTCACTGCTACAGGAAAATTTTGACAGGGCGTTCAGGTTTTCAAGGCTGGTAAAAAAGATGATGCCAAGTGGATGGGAAAAGATAAAAGTGTTATATTTTAGAAAGGAAATGTGATTTCCGATTGAGTTTGCATTGCTTAAGGTGGCTCGATACAGTTTTTTGAAAATCAGGTGTCTTGCAGTTCGACGGTCTTGATCTTTGTATTTTATTGTTTTGTGAAGCAGATATGGAAGTTTTTATATATTTTAATGTATTTTGGAGTCATATATTCATTTTGGAGTCATATATTCTGTTGCTACGGCAACACACGCATACAGAATTCACTGTAGAATGGCCTATTTTTTCGTTTAGTACATGAAAAAGCATGGTGACCCCCAAATTTTTTCTTGCATGTTTTTACCTATAATATAAATTATCGACATGCGAAATATAAAAAAAAAATCTGTAATGCCATTTTTTTAGGAAGACAAAAATGTTGTTTTCTTTAATAAAATATTTTCGGCATTACAGATTTTTTTTATTTTTGGTATAATTAAAGTTTTTTGCGATACAAAACCATACGCAAATTTTCAACATAGGTCACCAGGTCATATAATGAGATACAAGGCTTTTTGTCCAGAAATATTGAAATTATAATGACGTGAGCAAATTACTCGCGAGTAAACACAACACCGTCTACTTAATTGAGTAATATGATGGAAATTTATAGTAAGATCTAAGAATTACACTGAAGAGACAAAATATGAACATATATCGTTCAAGATTCTTCGATTTTTTGTTACCCGTGGTTTTGAAGTTCGCATGGTTGAAGGTGGCAAGCCAAGAACAGCAATGATGCCTTCACATCCACCTTGTCTGAATAATGCAACCAGATCTGTGAATGTCATGCCGCTCTCTGCTATCTTATTGGCCATTGACTTCGGGATTGTGGAGATTGCCCATGTTAGTTTGGAATCGATCGTAAGAAAGATCCATATGCTGGACGACAGCTAACGCATTTTCACACGACATGACATTCGATTTTGAAACGATAATTTCGCTGGTCAATGTTAAATTGGACTGAAAGAGAATTCTTCGGAGTGCTTTAACGTCTTCGAGGGCATCGTGTGCTGGAAACGACTGGTCAAATAAGGTCGAATACAGGCATCCCAACGAGGCTTTCGTTTAAAATCTTTCCTTTTTTCATCACTGCAACCTTATCTACTTCATCACTGCAACCTTATCTTTTTTCAACTTTCCCGAACTTACAAACCCTTCTTTTGAATTTTTTGGTCTCAGAAACTCGCATTCAGCACTTGTTTTATCGTTTTCACAATTTAACTCGGCCATGTTTACTTTTCTCGGCATTTAAACTTCCCGCGAATATCGCGAGTGTTGTGAAAAGCATTGGGTTTGAAGTTAGATTAGGGTTAAATGTAGACTTCCTGCAGGTCTGCCTCTCAAAGGATTTTCATTCGGGAGTTATAAACGATGCACGAAAATGCAGAAGGCTTAAATTCCTGCTGTCCGTATTTTAATTCGTGCCCCCAAATAAAAACCTCTTTGCTTTGAGAGGTTTATCACACACTTCGTTCTCGTAGGATGAACCATGGAATGGCATCTTAAGACTTTATGATAAATAATTTAAATGTAAGAGGTTCCATAACAAGTCACGTTATCATGCATAGCAATTGGACAGCTGGCCTCAAAAACATTGTGCAAAATTGTGCGCAGATAAGGTTTGCTTTACATACTGAACTGTAAAACGCCATATGCTATACTCACATGAATACGAGTATTACTGCAGCCAATTGCCAGAACATTGCCATCTTTCACCCAAGACACACTTGACACATAATCATTATTTGGTATTTCTAGGAGAAGTTTTGTTGCCTGTGTTTCATAGTTCCAAATGTATACTCCAGATCCCAAACCAATTGCAATGCAATTATTAGAACCCCAGTCAACCAAATTCAAATCTAGAAACGTAACATAAGGAGGAATGAACAAACATCAATAAGAACAGTACCCGTAGTTTCTTTCACTGCGCTCTTTTTCAAATGAGTTTCTTTATTCTGTAAAACAAAAACTGGTCAAAACTCAAGTCTCAATATTCGAGTTTAAACAGTAATTTGGTTGTTGTTGCTCTGGATTTCCCCAATCACTCCTCCCGCACGCGAATGAAGCTGCCAAATAAAACGTCGTTTCTATCAATGCTATCGGGAAGAGTAATATCTTTTGTGAGATAGTAAAATTCGCTTTCACTGTGTTCTTCATCGTCTGCAGACATTTTAATATTTAAAAAAGTAGCCTTTAAACTCGTCTTTAAATTTTGAAAAATAAAAACATTGGCTCTACGGCTTTAAATCTCGCGTGGTCCGTATGGGCTCATACGGACCGCTCACGTACCCAATCAGATTGCAGAAAAGCGTAAAATACGACTTCGGACCGCAAGAAAAAAAAAATAATATTATATGGCTTTTCAAAATTCTCTATTCCGATTGGTTGACAAGCGGTCCGTAAAAACACATATCCGGACCGTCCGACCGTGGTCCGTATTTTCCGTATCTGGACCGGTGTCCCGGATGTCGTTTATCTGGCAGGAAATTTTTGCTTTGCAAACAGAAAAATTTTTTGCTTTTTAATTTTCCAATTGTGTGTCATCAAAATTTACAGATAAAAATTTCAAACAACCAAATTGTTTTTGATTGAGCATGCATCAGCCCACCGTATATTGTTACCCAGTGAAACTGATGATAGCGGCCGATTTAATTTGCGCGAAAAGCATATGCTCACAGACTCAGTTCAGCCATATAATAAACCGATTATTGACCTCGCTTGTTCGGTCTGTGCTGTGAAATATCAGACCTCTCTTTTTTGCATGGACCTCGCTCCTTCGTCGCTCGGTTCATACTAAAAACCTCGGTCTGATATTTCACAGTACAGACCTCACGCTCGGTCAATAAGCCGTTAATATTTTATATTTCAGTTAATTGGTAAGGTCATGAAGTGAAAAGCGACACATACAGCATGACGGCCAGCAAATGTTTCGCATACTCAATTATCAGGGCCATCGCGAAGAGGCTTATAAGCAGGATGTGTGTGTGGTATTAAAGTTTTGCCAACAAATTAGGCAGGCCAAGTTTGATTAGACAATGTAAAAATTGCTGACAAAATCCTTCATTTTGCCGACACCACCACCCCCCAGCAACGGCTCTGCCAGTTATACTTGTTTGATACACATAAAACAACAGTAACTCCGAAAATAAACATTTTAATATTCATTTGAATCTTAAAATGTTTATTTTCGCAGTTACCGTACAGTTGTTTTATATTTTATTAAAATACTCAGTGGTTCCTGTAATTTTAGTGATACACATTAATTATTACTACAGTTTTTAAGATTTCTGAATAGTGACAATCAAATACGAATATCAATTACACAAGTGTGCCAACAACTCACAGAAGTCATTCAAAAGTTCAGGTGCATCTAAGATCTTTTCAGGGACTTTGGAGATATACCGACTGCTTTTCGCTTTTGATGAACCACGGTTTTGACAGTAAACTACACGAAGATTGTTCTGATAACCTGAAAAAGAATTACTTTTCATTCAGAATAAGTTACTGAAGAACTCCAAATAGACAATTATTTATTTCCTTTTAACAAGTAAACACTAAATTATCCCTTTGGTGCAGACTAATGGTTTATGTCAAAATACACCTGTCCACTTAAAACAATATATAATACTATATGACTGTTTGTTTTCATCTCCCAAATGGAAATCCCCAAGGAATTTTCCCTCCCTTTAAGAAAATACAGGAGTGTATCAAAGCTGCACTCATTCACATGCCATTGCTATTTTTGAACCAAAAAGATGATTATAACCAACAACATAGCTTGTTTGCACCAACATAGACAGAACTTGTGCAATGTCCTGTGCACAGCATTTTCATAACTGGCCAATACCCAGAGGTACCTACGAGGTAATTAGGTTTCAAATTTATACACAAGACAAACTAACAAGTATGCAGCTAGGCCAAACTGTAATGTTTTGGCTTTGGAGGAAATTAATCTCTTGTGAAAAATCCTTGCAATTATATTGGAAACCTATACAAAATTTTTTAAATTGTAAAAAACTGCAAATAAGTTCTGAAGAGTCTGCACAAAAAACGAACCAAGTAGAGTTCTGATCTTCCTATTTGACAAAAAAACACTTTCTGACCGCAGGATTGACCAGGATCCCTCATTGTCTGTCATAAATTTTCTGTGAAAATATCTGACATTTCTGTACCCTGGCTCCAGAGGCTCTTTGCGAGGCAAAATCTTTGTGAGGCGAAAGAAACGAGAGGCGAGAAGGAAGAGCCTCTGGTCACATCAGTTGCAAATCCCACTTCCACACAAGTTTGATTAGCTAAGTTCAGAATTTGAATCTCGCATGTGATTGGCCACTTGTAAAAATATGTCAAACCGGTTTGAGAAATAAACAGTACTGTAAGCTAATTATAGCTATAGTAATGTTTATTGCCCAAACCGGCTTGACATGTTTTTACAAATGGCCAATCACATGCGAGATTCAAATTCTGAACCTTATAATCAAACTTGTGTGGAAATGGGATTTGAAACCGATGTGACCAGAGGGATCTTCCTTCTCACCTCTCATTTCTTTCGCCTCGCAAAGAGCCTCTGGAACCAGCCACCAGGGTAACATTTCCGAGCATTCTTCGCAAGGAAAAATTTCTGCACATTTCCCCCTGGCAGCTAGGTATGGCAAACTGTAATGCACCTATCATTTGTTTCCACCACCCTGGGGGGAGGGGGGGGGGGACAAGCCAGGGGGTTTTTACCACAATTGTTGACACAGGGGGCGGGATGTTGACAGAAAACCGGAATCTGGGGTGGGGATGATTTGACCATGCTTTAATTCTTTAATTTGTAAACACATAACAAATATTTAATTTTAAAAGTATAATAGCCTGTGGTTTTTTAGCTAACCCACATATTTGTTAATTGTGCTATTTTGTGCCTTTAAAATTGATAATAAATCCTTTGTATTGCAACAAAATCACTGTAAACTGCTTAATGAAATTTCAAGCAATTTTCAAGGAAATAACGTATACAATCGAGAAATTTGATGACAAAAATGAGAAATTTTGATTTGGAAAATGGAAGCACTGTTTGTTATGCAATGGGAGATTCAATGGAAGACCGTTCGATGGAAGAAGTTTTTAATTTTTTATAACTCAACAAATTGGAGTGCATTAATTAATGGAGTGAGTGCACACATGTCTTCTTTTTAATACATAATTTGGTTTGGTATATCCTAGCCTGCTCGCAGGCCGTTGTCAGGCAGAGACTGCGAGGTACGGCCTGCGACCTTTATTAGTAAAAAGTCGATTTATGCGTACGGAGCGTACGCAAAATTCCCATTGGTCAGAAGTGCCCCATGAGTTAATATCGTGTAAATATTTAACTCGTACGATATTTCGCAATGTAATTTTAGCTGGCATTCAATCAGTGGTGTTACAGTAAAACCATGACTTTGTTTATCTCTTCAAAGAAGTAACTGAATGTATTTGAGAAACCTTTCAATTTAAATTAACGTTGAAGGATGAGCAAAGGTTAGCAATAACTATACTTCCAATGGGATTTGATAAAAGTTTAATATACCAAAAATAATTATTCAAAAGAATTATTACCAACGTTGAACAAGCCCAGCGAGACGTTGGTTGAGACACAGGCAG